CTCAGGGTCATGGGTTTGAACCCCACATTGTGGGTAGAGTTTACTTTTTTTATATACAAGGAAGAAACTTTTATTTATTTATTTTTAAGTTTATTTATTTATTTAGGGGAGTGGAGTGGCAGAAAGAGAGAGAGAGAGAGAGAGAGAGAGTGAGAGAGAGAGACAGAATCCCAAGCAGCCGGGATATGTCAGCACAGAGCCATATGCAGGGCTCGGACTCAAGAACCTGTGAGATCCTGACCTGAGCAGAAACCAAGAGTCAGATGCTTAACCAACTGGTCCACCCAGGCACCCTGGGGGTAGAGTTTACTTAATAAAAATAAATAATTAAAAAAAAAACAACAACCTTCTTCTCAACACAAACCATGATCTACCTCTTGAGTGCTAAACCTACTGGACTCTGAATGCACCATGTGTCCTCAACCTCAGTGTAGCCCAGAGAGGCTGAACTCTCTGCCTTGAACTACCCTGTCCAGTGCTCCTGCACTTCTTTAGTGGGCAGCAGCCATCTGTCCACACAGGCAGTCCAACTGGAACCCTGGATCCTTCTTCATTCCTCACATACGGTCACCAAATCCTATCAACCTTAACTTTCAGTGTCTCTTAAATCTCCCCCCATTCTCCTGCTGCTATCCTACACTATTTCCAAATCAACTACTATCCTCTCACCCCCGAGTCTCTCTGCCCCTTATCTATTTCTCCATCTCAGCACTTATTACCCAGTATCATAAATGTTGCTTATTTGTATGTCTCTCCAAATACCCTATGAGATCTTCGAGGACAAGCATGGTATGCTGTCTCTTCCTATTTTCAGCACTTAGCATAATATCCCACAAGGAGGATGTGTCCAGTTAACATTTTCTAATCGGATAAATAACTCCTACACCATCAGATCCTAAGATGTCAGACACTTTAGGGAGTGAGATGGGTTCACCGACAAAACTCTGGCTCACCAACCTTGATTCTGTTAGAGTTAACCCTGCGAACTCATGGACTGATCACTGGCTGAAGTCTGTGCTCTGAACTCTAGTTCCTCCAAAGTAACCCTTTCCTACCTTCATACACATCTGGCTCTCATGTAAGATGTTTGGTGTCCTCTTTCTCTGTCTCCTTGCAAAACCCAATCCTAGGGAAAGAGTTCATTTCTGCTTTTTATTCCCATAGGTATCTGCATTTTAGGACGTTCTTTCTAATTGTGGAAGGCTACTTCTGGTCCCATTCAAGAACTATGAGGCTTTGGCAGCAAGGTATGTGAGTGAAGGAGAGTAGGGCGTGAGGGAGGGGAGAGAACTTGAGGGAGAAACTCTGCCTGGCCCCCAAATCACAGTCAGAACCTGAATGTTCTTCCTCTGCAATTGGCCAGCTCTCACCCAAAAGCCCAGGCTGGTTTCAGCAACTTCTCTGTCCCCCAAATCCTCTGTCCTGGGATATTAGCTCACTATCCAGACATGGCATTTTGGCTTTAGATGTAATGGGAAGAAAGAAAAAAACTTCTTTTAAGACTTAGCTGCAGTCTGGGCCATGGGGGTTAAGAGGAAGACCACATTCCTTAAGGAGAAGACTTCTGTTTCTTCTGGGAAACCATCCTAATGGATTCATAAGAAGTAGAAACTCTAAGACAATGTGGAGTCAGGAGGGCGAGGGAGAAGGAAATGGGGGTCCCAGGGACGGAGGGGAGAAGGGTCTTTGTAGAGAGAGGAAGACCTACCAAGATGGTGGCAGGTGGAAGTTCTGAGTAAGTATGAGAAATGGCCCCGGTCTGTACTTCCTGTTCACTTTTTATGTAAACCTAAAACTACCCTAAAAATAAAAGTCTAGGAGCGCCTGGGTGGCTCAGTCGGTTAAGCATCCGACTTCAGCTCAGGTCACGATCTCATGGTCTGTGAGTTCGAGCCGCGCGTCAGGCTCTGGGCTGATGGCTCAGAGCCTGGAGCCTGCTTCCGATTCTGTGTCTCCCTCTCTCTCTGCCCCTCCCCCGTTCATGCTCTGTCTCTCTCTGTCCCAAAAATAAATAAACGTTAAAAAAAATTTTTTTAAAAATCAAAGTCTATTAATAGATAGATAGATAGATAGATAGACAGACAGACAGATAGGAGGGGCACCCGCTAATGAGAAACTTCTTGTTTTGGACATGGTCTGAGAATATCAGGACAGTCTTGCCTGTTCTGGGCTATAACTTCCTTCCATTATCCCAAACCTTCAGTAAAGTCTGCTGAAAACAGCTGCCTTATGTTGGTGGGATCTTGGGAAATAAAGAGGCATGGTGGCCAGTGTGAAGTGAAGCAATGCCCAAGGAGCAGCATTCCAAAAGGGAGACCAAGAATTTGGTATTGGCAAGAAGTTGGAGCAAGAGGGGACCACAAGAATGCAAATCTCAAGGGCTCTCTAGAGCTGGGCTTCCCATACTGTAGCCACTAACTACAAAGGGCTACTGAGCACTTGAAACGTGACCAGTCCAAACTGAGATGTGCGATTCAGCACGTATGAAAAAAAAATAATGTCAAATATTTCAATAATTTTTATATTAATTACATGTTGAAATAACATTTCGCGTATGTAGAGATAAATAAAAGACACTCTGAAGGTTCATTGCACCCATCCCTTTATGCCTTTTTAACACAGCTATTCAAAAATTTACAATTCCGTACATGGCTCGCATAGTATTTCTATTTGGGCAACATCACTCTAGAATCTTGGGGAAAAGGAATGGACTTGCTAGGGTATAACGAATGAGGTGCATACGCCATTTTCTTTGGGTATTAAAGAAAAGGGTAACCCCAGGAATTCGGGACATAGGAAAATAGACATTGACAGATCAAGTGTGAGAAAATACAAATTTATAGGAATAGAAGACATTTATTTTAGTAAAGTTTTGTTAAACTAAAAATAGTTCCTACAAATAGCAAGTTCTCCTAAAATATGATTCAATTTATATAAACACTCGACTTTTCAGGAACACATTTGTAGTATGAAATAAAGTATATGGGAAAACGTCCCAACATAAGTAACTTACATTCAGCCCTTAGGTTTAAACTAGAAAAGAAAAAAAAGCAAGGAAGCTTCCCATGGGGGATAAACAAACATGTCTTCTAATACCTTAGTGTGCTGAACAGTGACAACCCAGACCTGAGACTAACGCTTGGTACTTTCCATTAGAAATACAGAGGGCACCTGGATGGCTCAGTTGGTGAAGTGTCCGACTCTTCGTTTTGGCTGATGTCATGATCTCACAGTGCACGAGTCTGAGCCCCACGTTGGGCACTGTGCTGACAGCTTGGTGCCTGCTTGGGATTCTCTCTCACCTTCTCTTTCTGCCCCTCCTCCACACTCTTTCTCTCAAAATAAACATAAAAAAAAAAATACAGAATACATGCAAAGCCACCATTGTGTGTGGACCATATTTATTTCAAACCAAATCTAAATCTACTCCTTGCGCCATGTCTCAGGCAATTTATGAGCAAAAAATGAAACAGAATATAATGCCTGGCTCTCAGTTAACCAATCTGGATGTAACCAGAAAACACCTCTTCTCTGACATGGTAGGAGGCTCTAATTCAGTACCTCTGGGTTCTCTATTATACACATTGTTATGTGTATACGGAATCGGCAAACCTCGGACCTAGGATGACTTAAATATCCCATGGTCTAGTCTCTTTGTTGTACAGATAGGGACATGGGGCCACGGAGAGACGTAAGTTGCCTGAGATCACAGAGCTGCTCGGTGGCAATGGTAAGACTCAAGCCACGCAGAGTGGCAGCACGGTCAGCACCCTGGGTGAGACCGTGATGTTTCTGGATGGCCAACTTGAGTCATCTGAAAATGATGTCTGGTACTTACTCCTAGGTGTTTGCAGAAGGACTGAAGAATCCTTCTCTATAGAATGCGCATTGCAGCCCTTTGTCATGCTCAATGGGAGCTAAACTGATGTCCTCCCCTCCCCTTCCATCTTCTTACCCAGCCATTTGTCAGTGCTCTTTCTCCTGAAAAGTTTACCCACGGTGAAACGATCAGCTGTGGACTCCAGATAAGGCCCTGCCCCTCCTGTTTTCATGTATTTCATAGTCACCTGGTAGCCTGGAGTCCACCTACCAAAGATGGTCAAGGATGGATGGCTTAAGATGACAATGCTGAGTTCATACCGTGAGAAGACACCAAGAAGGAAATGCTCATCCAGGGAGGAGAGCGGCCAGCGTGTGCAGAGGGCAGGGTGAGCTACAGAGAAGGCTCATGGTCTTGTCCCTCCTCCTGTACCCCTCAACCCAGCCTGAGCTCCCCACCTGCCCTCAGCTCAAACAAACACACAAAGCCACTATCCTCTTCGTCTCTTTTCCCGCTCAGTCCTGCCCTGGCTCCAGAATAACAGGGCAGCGTATTTCATCCCAAGACACCAACAGTTAGAAACCCCAAAAGGGAGACTTGTTAATGGAAATCAGTCTCAACTTGCTAGCTTCTTGGAGGCCTTCCAAGTGTTGTTGATTAATTCTCACTTCTCAATACACACACACACACACACACACACACACACACACACACACACACACA